ACAACAAAGTCTGACCTCTGCCCTTTTCTCCAGACCTTTCTTATCTCAGAGTACTCTTGCCTTTGCTCTCTTTATTCCAGCCATACTGGTCTTCCTCAATTTCTTCAATTTCTTCCTCCCACCACAGAGCCTTTGTAGATATCTGCGCTCCTCTCCTCCTGATCTGGAACACTACTCTCATCCACCCCTGGGTACCTTATACCCAGTCTTCAGATACTAGCTTAAGCATCACTGACCCAGAAAAGGCTTTACTGATACCTTAGTCTAAGGCAGGCTCATTTGTTTAAAAAAACTCTTACACACTTAAGTTCTTCTCTTTCAGTGAACTTATCCTGGTAAGGAATTACACATTAATTAGTGTGATTACATGAAAAATATTTACTTTCACTATTAGATTTTAAGTTCATGAGAGTGAAGATTGTCTGTTTAGGTTCACATGACATCCCCAGGACCAAAACTAAGCCTGTCACAGACCAGATGCAGAATACATATTAAACTAATGGGTGGAGAAAAGAATTAACAAACAATAATACAAAGAAGGCAGAGCTCAACTAAGTAGAGGCCAGAGAGCCAACGAAGAAAAGTCGGTAACAAGAGAAACAAAGGAGATGAGTATTTAAAGAAGAAAGTAGTTGAAGCCTCGTATGTCTGAGAAAGATGAAAGGAGATGAGAAGGAACCAATGGTTGGCAGAGCAAGCAGAAAATTATTGGTGACCTTTAAGAAAATAGTTTCAGTAGAATGAGCACATAGAAGAAGAAAGTATAGACTGCTTTGCAAGAATGTGTCAGTGAAAAGAGGGGAAGACAGGCTGCAGAAAGGGCAGAGAGCTCAGCCATGGGAATATACTGATGGTGATCATAGAGCAGGAGTTACATGCTCAAGGTTACAATAGGAAGCAGAACAAAATGACACAGTTTGAAACTGAAGATGTTATGTTAGTAAATAATCTTTTCCTGTGGTGCAATCCAATTACTTTCTATAAATATAATGGTAGGGCTTCCCTGGTGGTGCAGTGGTTGAGAGTCCACCTGCCGATGCAGGGGACGCGGGTTCGTGCCCTGGTCCGGGAGGATCCCACATGCCGCGGAGCAGCTGGGCCCGTGAGCCATGGCCGCTGGGCCTGCGCGTCCGGAGCCTGTGCTCTGCAGTGGGAGAGGCCACTGCAGTGAGAGGCCCGCGTACCACAAAAAAAAAAAAAAAAGATGTAAATGTAATGGTAATAAAAATAATAGCTAACTTTTTTTGGATTATTCACTAAGTGCAAGGCAAAGTGAAAAGTACTTTAAGACTTCTCAGTACCTTTTTTTTTCTCTCTTAGATTCTATATATATGTGTTAGCATACGGTATTTATTTTTCTCTTTCTGACTTACTTCACTCTGTATGACAGACTCTAGGTCCATCCACCTCACTACAAATATCTCAATTCCATCTCTTTTTATGGCTGAGTAATATTCCATTGCATATATGTGCCACATCTTCTTTATCCATTCATCTGATGATGGACACTTAGGTTGCTTCCATGTCCTGGCTATTGTAAACAGAGCTGCAATGAACATTGTGGTACATGACTCTTTTTGAATTATGGTTTTCTCAGGGTATATGCCCAGTAGTGGGATTGCTGGGTCATATGGTAGTTCTATTTTTAGTTTTTTAAGGAACCTCCATAATGTTTTCCATAGTGGCTGTATCAATTTACATTCCCAACAACAGTGCAAGAGGGGTCCCTTTTCTCCACACCCTCTCCAGCATTTATTGTTTGCAGATTTTCTGATGATGGCCATTCTGACTGGGGTGAGATGATACCTCAATGTAGTTTTGATTTGCATTTCTCTAATGATTAGTGATATTGAGCATTCTTTCATAGGTCATGAAGAACCTAGGAATAAAGACACAGACCTACTAGAGAATGGACTTGAGGATACGGGGAGGGGGAAGGGTAAGCTGTGACAAAGTGAGAGAGTGGCATGGACATATATACACTACCAAACGTAAAATAGATAGCTAGTGGGAAGCAGCCGCATAGCACAGGGAGATCAGCTAGGTGGTTTGTGACCACCTAGAGGGGTGGGATAGGGAGGGTGGGAGGGAGGGAGACGCAGAGGGAGGAGATATGGGAACATATGTATATGTATAACTGATTCACTTTGTTACAAAGCAGAAACTAACACACCATTGTAAAGCAATTATACTCAAATAAAGATGTTAAAAAAAAAAAAAAAGACTTCTCACTAGACCTCCCAACATCTCTATTAGAGAGTAGTATCATTATCATCATTTTACAGATGAAAACCTGAGACCCAAGCCACCTGATTAGCAACTGACAGAAGTTGAATTGGAATCCAGATATACCTGACTTGTATGACAGGGCAGATATACTATTAATTGGTTAACCAGGTATCTATTCATTCCTCATTTCCTTGTCCCTTGACTCATAATAGCTCAAGGTGGCCACATAACCCATTTCCAGCTGAGGGAATATAAGTGGAAATATGTTTGGAACGTCCTTGGAAGGCTTTTTCTCTTTTAAATATATAAACATTTAAATATACATTTAATATCTGTTATCTATTAAATTTATATTAAAATTTCTAAATATTTAAAAAATAAATGTATGGTATAAATACTTAAATATTTTCTAAATGGAAAGCCTTGCAATGCTTTATCATATATATAAAACAGGTATTGCTGGGCCATCCCATTCTTCTGACTTGAATGTGATTCCAAATCCTAGAGCTGGCTTCCATCTTATGACAATCAGGGAGTGGCAGAGAAATTACAGAGAAGCTGAACCACTAAACCGATGACAATAGCCACCTACTTCTAGACTTCTTGCTGTATGAGCAAAAAAAACTGTCTTAAACATGTTAGTCAAGTTTTCTGTTATTTACACTTGACTGTACTTCTAATGGATGTAATTCCAAAGCCCATGCTCTTATCTACCAAACTATATATATATATATATATATATATATATATATATATATATATATCACCTCTCATCTATGAAATTAAAAGATTAACCTCTCTGAGTTCTTAAGTAGTTCAAGTTAGAAAATACGTATTTAAATGTCTTGAAAAATAGAAATTAGTATACAAATTTATTATTGTTTTCAGAACAATGATTCTCAACTAAGGGAAGAGACTTGGAGAGCATATATCCCATAGAAACATGGGATTAGGCAGCAGTGTCCTAGAAGGACACATCAGAATCTCATGGGGAAAATTTTCACATTACACACATTCCTTTTTGAGAATCACTGCTAGAGTGAACCTCCTCTTACTAATAAGATGATGAGCATATCCTGTAAATCTATTCAGAAGGTTGAGAAGCGGAGCTTTATTATGATAGTGGGGGATATTAAGCACACCTCCATCAAGACATCAATAGCTTAATAAATGGTAAAAAATTTTTGAACCCGTGGGAAACAATCCCACCTTACCGAACTTTCTCAGAACATAAGCAATTATTTTTATATGAATAACAGTAATAAACAACCAATAATGGTATGACCCAACAAAGCTGACATAGTATAATGTAATATTAACCAATGGGATCAGAGAGTTAGCAGGAAAAAATGTAAATGTGTTTCAGAGGAAGACTAGAATGAATTCCAAATACTTACTCAAATCTTTATAAAGGTTTCCTCTTCATCTTGATTTCTCTTATTTGAGGTCAAATTTACTACTCTCTCACTAAGAAATTAACAAAGTAATTTTAAAAATTGAACTCAACTGAATCTCATCTCAGGTCCCAAATAACTAGTTTGTTCATTTATTGGATTAGGTCCCAGTAAGTTTCATTCAATAACCAATTGTTGAGCACCTACTGTGGGTCAGACTATTCTTGGCACTAGAGTGCCTTTACAGCTGTGAAGAAAATAACCAAAATTGCTTGTCCTTATGGAACTTATATTCTATGAGGGTAAGGAGCAAACAGACAAAAAGCAAATAAATAAAATACAATATATGTAAGTTGGTAAGTGCTATAGTGAAAAAAATAAAGCAAGGAAGGTAGAAGGTAGATAGGCAACATGGGGTGAGAATGAGACAGAGCTTGTGGGGTGGGGGAGGGTTAGTGGTTGCAGTTTTAAATACCATGGTCATAAAGCTTTCATTAGGACGCTGACACTTGAGCTACGACCTGAAGGAGCTGAAGAACCAAACCACAACTATGCATCTATTTGCTTTAATGCTAACTCTTTTTCTGTTGAATATATCATTTGAAATTGGTCAATAGCTAAATGGCAAAATGATACTGCTTTTCCTTACAAGTCACCCAGATCCATTCTAATCAAACCAAATAGGGAAAAAAGACATTCTAATTATTGGTAACCCTCTGAATCTCACTGTTGACATACCTGGCTTTTGAGGAGAAAGTTTAATGTGTATTTTATTCCTTTATGTCACAAATATATTCATTTTTTGATACTCCCCAAACATGTATTTCAAATGTAGAAAATTTTGTTTAGTCTTAAATGAGCCCAAATTTCATCATGGGCTAAAATTTTAAGACATAAGACTGCTGAAACTGAATTTTAATCATATAGATGAATCACAACATGCATCTTTAGCTGGACATGTATTATGGATAAGACTAGCTTTCTACAGAGAATAATCACATGTTCTAATTACCATTTTGGTTATACGCATAATTAATAATATTCTGTCTTAATGGGACACACTGAATCTTCAGACAGTTGCAAGCTTTAACTATGCATACTGCCAAATCCAACTGTCAGCTGCACTGCCAAACACAAAGGAATCTTGATGTAGTGTTTTAGCATTGATAACAATATGCATATCTTTATACATGATACAATGGAAAAATTAATTGCTTTTCTTCCTTCAAAATTTTCTCCACACTTAATAATTTTACGTTGCTTGATTGATTACTCACCCTAAATTATATATACTGGTGAGTGACCTTTTGAACAACAAAAACATGAATGTAAATGTGACCCAAGATTCAAAGAAGAAAAAAATATTGTAGGACTTACTGATGGTAAACTTTCATTTTCACGTAAACAAGCTGTGTGAAGTTCTGATTTCAAGGTTGCAATGTGACTTCGATGAGATGTCATTTCCTTTTCTAATGTAGCAATTCTAGTGCTTGCAAGCTGGTAGACATCCACGAAACTTTTAATCATAGCCTTAAGAAATAAAAATAATGCCACAAACAATTCAAATAAAGCTGTCCCCAAAGGAGAATTTCCATAATTTGAAAGCAAAATCATTAAAATTTTAAAATAAACAACTTTTCATCCTCCTTTAAAATAATAAAGCTAAACCTCACATTTTATATTGAGAACTGTGGCTACTTTAAGAAAGTCTGGGAGAAAATCATTGAGACTTTTTTCCAGAATATTTATTTAAATAAGGTGTACTTTGATCTATTGTGCTTAAAATTTAGAATGAAGTTTTTAAAGATGGCACACTTATTACCTTTGTAAACTTAAATTCAAGTTGCAATTTGACCTAAATTTCAATCTTAAGACACACAACAGATGGATATATAAGCAAGATATTTCAAAATGAGCTCAGTAAAATTTTCAAACCACCTAGAAAACAAATGTTTTGAAACAAAAGGAGCTGAACTAATCCTATGATTTTTTAAAAGTAAATAATATGATTCCTAAATTGTAAGAAAAAGTATAATTATCTTCATTCATATAAAAGAGGAACACCCTTGCATTACACTGGATATAATAAAATAAATAACATAAGCAAGTGCTGGTAACTTTTTCTCTTCCCTAAGTAGTGTAATATTTGGGAGAATTGTTGGGCCTCTGTATCACAGTTTAATCATATTTTTTTTTTTTTTTTTTTCCTTGCGTTATGCGGGCCTCTCACTGTTGTGGCCTCTCCCATTTGCGGAGCACAGGCTCCGGACGCGCAGGCTCAGTGGCCATGGCTCACGGGCCCAGCCGCTCCGCGGCATGTGGGATCTTCCCGAAACGGGGCACGAACCCGCGTCTCCTGCATCGGCAGGCGGACTCTCAAGCACTGCGCCACCAGGGAAGCCCTTAATCATATTTTGTAGACTTTTGCTTCTAAAGCAAGCTGTAGTGAATTTTAAGTCCAAGAATACTACTATAACTTTGAAAGACTAAAAAGTCTTTCAAAATACTTCAAATACAGTAAAGTATAATCAAACATTTCAAAGACATATTCAAATATAATTTTATGTTATTTACAAGAAAACCATGTTCCAACTGCAGCCACAACTTAGAACAATGGTAGACAGTCTGAAAATTTCCAAATTATATTCAGTCTGAAGAGTCTAGTTTGAGAGAGCTTTAAGAAACTAGATATTTGGGCAATTCTGAATGCATATGAAACAATCTGGTGAACAAAAAGTACGAAACAACATACACAATGTCTGAGAAACAGAAGTAGGTGAGTTATTTGTAGTTAAAAGAAAATTCATAGCTTTTTGCCTAACAAATTCCTATTTGCCCTAAAAAACCCAGTTCAGAAACCACCTCTTTAAAGAAGGCTCTTTTGAGCCCGAAGGCAGTGTTAACTTCTATTCTGGTTCTCTGTGGGTCCCTCATGCTTGCTTCTACTATTGCATTTATTGCTTTGGCAGAAATGCATTAGTTTACATGTTTATAGTCACTACACTAAGGAGCTACCTAGGCCAGATATTGTGTCAAATCTAATCATCTCTGTATCTTCAGGGATGGCTTGAATGACTGACAGGAAAGAAGGAAGGAAGGAAGGAAGGAAGGAGGGCAAGGAGGGAGGGAGGGAGGGAGGGAGGGAAGGAAGGCAGAGAGAGTGACTGGAAAAGATGAAAAGCCACATTAGTCATATTCAGTTTGGCAAAAAATACCTTATAGAAAAGGATGAAGATACTTGGGAAAATATAACCTTAACACTCTAGTGAATAAATTACTACCCATACTTTATTCAAAGTCGAAAAAAGAAGCAAAAGCATAGCTGTAGGCATAAAAAGATAAAGTACACAAAAGTTCACTCTATTACCCAACACTAAATAAGCATGGTATGACCTCATGTTTGGGAACATCTCACATGTCCTAACATTCCTTACCTTGAGTCATTTCAAGGTAAGCTGAGGGCTAATACTAACACAAAATATGTCCCTGGGTTTCAAAAGTAGATAAAAATCAGAAATTACAAAATCATATCTGTTTCTTCCTACACCAAGTCTCTCTCTACTTCTGTAAATTCATTTATCTTCTCCACTGAGATGGTGGACCAGGAATCACAAGTCCTATTTTTTTCTGGTTCTCATGCTGCCACTTACTTAGCTTTATCTTGTTGGGCAATGCCATGTCATCTTTCTGAGCCTCCACCTGCTCCCTCCATAAAATGGGAAGAAAAGTCCATTTTTTTGCTTATTTCTAAAACTGTTGTGAGGATCAGATAGTTAAAAATCTAATACAGGGCTTCCCTGGTGGCACAGTGGTTGGGAGTCCGCCTGCCGATGCAGGGGACGCGGGTTCATGCCCCGGTCCGGGAGAATCCCACATGCCGCGGAGCGGCTGGGCCCATGAGCCATGGCCGCTGGGCCTGCGCGTCCGGAGCCTGTGCTCCGCAGTGGGAGAGGCCACAGCAGTGAGAGGCCCGCATACTGAAGAAAAAAAAAAAAAACTAATACAAAGCCATTCCTTTAACCCTTCAGCTACATTGCACCTAATATAAAAATGGTAAGCTAGTAAATTTCATTGTAGTATTACCATTGTTCTATTTTTAAATTCTCCACTAAGATCTTAATGAGACAATCTGTGATAGGTGGCTTGTATACATGTGTTCCTGTTATATACGGACCTAAAGTGCATAAAATGCATGAAAACTTACATAAAGGCCTTATTTAATAAAAAGAAGAAAGTACTCTTCTATCAATAATAGGCTCCTGGATTATTATCTCAATGTAAGTCATAATAGAACAGGCCTCTAATATATAAAAAATTTCAACATTTAATAAGTTGTCCTGGGGCTTCCCTGGTGGCGCAGTGGTTGAGGGTCCGTCCGCCTGCCAATGCAGGGGACACGGATTCGTGCCCCGGTCCGGGAAGATCCCACATGCCGCGGAGCCGGACGCGCAGGCTCAGCGGCCATGGCTCACGGGCCCAGCCACTCCGCGGCATGTGGGATCTTCCCGGACCGGGGCACGAATCCGTGTCCCCTGCATTGGCAGGGGGGGGGGGCCCCCCCCCCCTGCCAATGCAGGGGACACGGATTCGTGCCCCGGTCCGGGAAGATCCCACATGCCGCGGAGCCGGACGCGCAGGCTCAGCGGCCATGGCTCACGGGCCCAGCCACTCCGCGGCATGTGGGATCTTCCCGGACCGGGGCACGAATCCGTGTCCCCTGCATTGGCAGGGGGGGGGGGCCCCCCCCCCCTGCCAATGCAGGGGACACGGATTCGTGCCCCGGTCCGGGAAGATCCCACATGCCGCGGAGCCGGACGCGCAGGCTCAGCGGCCATGGCTCACGGGCCCAGCCACTCCGCGGCATGTGGGATCTTCCCGGACCGGGGCACGAATCCGTGTCCCCTGCATTGGCAGGGGGGGGGGGCCCCCCCCCCCTGCCAATGCAGGGGACACGGATTCGTGCCCCGGTCCGGGAAGATCCCACATGCCGCGGAGCGGCTGGGCCCATGAGCCATGGCCGCTGAGCCTGCGCGTCCGGAGTCTGTGCTCCGCAACGGGAGAGGCCACAGCAGGGAGAGGCCCGCATACCGAAAAAAAAAAAAAAAAAAAAGTCCTATTTCTTAAATTTGGAGAAACACATTTCATGAATTGTCACATACATGATATTCTAAAAGGAATTATAATATAAAAGGTAGTCCTTCAAATCCCTTTTTTAAAAAATAAAATATTTTTTGAGAAGTTATATCTGAATTTTTATGGGATGGATGGAACAAAAGTCAATTATTTTGGCTCCTTCCTTGATCTGTTTTTAATAACTAAATTCTAATATTCAGTGCAGTATTAAGAGAAACCACATATTACTACTTTATAACATTAAAAAGAATAAAATAATAATCTACTTTTTGCTGAGGATTTAGAGTCTTAAGCATTTAAAATTTTTAACGCAGTATTTGAGAGATGAAAACAATTTTCTGTAACACTTACTGTATAGGATATTTTTTTCAGAGCAGCAAAGGTAAGGTAATCAATACAGAAAGTATGCTTCACGGAACTAGTGTAAGTAAAATATACTACATGCTTCTAAAATGAAAACCTCCTTCAGAACTGAAAGGTAGGGAGGAGTGTCAGTGAAATCGCAAAGCTATTCAAAGAATCCACAGCTCTTTTGAAGAATAAAGAATGTTAACTTCCAGTATTAAAAAGTGATTCAAACTATGTTATAAAGGATGCCAGTGAAAAATCCAACTCTAATACAAAAGAAAGGTGCCAGCTTGGTAGAAGAAATGGAAATGACAGCTGGAATCAAGTGAGGGGGTACGAGGAGGAGGGAGTGAGCATCTCATGACCTCTCTATCAGTCTCCTGAAGTCTAGCGCTATACAATACCCCTCACTCCTGTATTAAAACATCACACCTTTTCACATTAGGAAACAATGACAAAGCAGCATGATACTGTCAAAAGCAAGCCCAGCACTTGAGAATATATCCCATGTCATCTTTGGCCCTTGGGATTTTGACTATACCATGCAGTGAGATATGAATCTCAGTAGGGTTTATCTAATTATATGAGAAACAGAACAAAAAACAGTTTCTGGACAAAAATAGCCTTTTGTTTTAGAGATAATCTATTGTGTTTATAATCAGCATACTAAGATGAGAAAGTTCAAACATAAAATTCCACATCCTATCTATTTCAAGGAAAAGCGTAAGTGTTTTAGAATACAAAAAATTCTGAGATACAAACAGGTGACTGTCACTTGAGGACTAGTATATTATTTATATAGTTTGTTATGTACATATTATGTAGTTTAGACTGACTTCAAAATTGGACTTCAGGGAAAGTAGGAGCCTTGGGAAGCTGATGTTAGGAGAAGGAGCAATTAGTGGAAAATGTCATAAGGCCTAGATGCCAACAAAATAGTAAATTTTCTATTTATATTTTTGAGTAAGTAATGGGGAAGCAAAAACCTCTGACATTTACTTTAAATTTTGTAATTATGGATATACTTCATTTCTATATACTATATAAAG